GTTGGATCAGCAACTGCTGCAGAAGGGTCGTCAGCACTGTTTGATGGCTTGCCTGCTACTGGTGAGGAACTCTCCGTTATGTTGTCTGTTTCGGGTTGAAGTTGCTTTCGGCTTCGGTATGCACTTGGCCTGACCTCTTGCTTTGAATCTGGGGGCTTCTCATCTTGGGCTCCACCGGTTGGTGATGCTCCGGGAGAAACAACTGCCGCGGGAGGCTGCTGTTTGCGATTTTTGTAGCCTGGCTTTGCTGAAGTTTGAGGCTCCTGAATTCCATCCGCATTTGGGCCGGGCGGAGCAACTTGCTTGCGAGCTTTATATGCACCTTGCCGAACAGTCTCACCTCCTTCTGCAGGATCCATGTCACCAGCGCTCTCTGCAGCGCTTTTGCCAGCTTTGGATTTTTCATCACCTTCTTTCGCAGTCTTCCCGGCGTTTCCTGGTAGCAAGCTTTCAAAGCTCGTTGCTTTCAAACGACGCTTGGATTGTGTTGCACAAGGAACCTCAAGCTTCCGGGAGCTTCATCCTATCATTCTTCGGAACTTGTTGCATAACGGAAATGAAGAAAGCACCCATAAACGTGAACCCAACAAATGCACGTCTGTCATCAAGCTCCCAGACTGTCCTCGCGTTACCGGAGCACTTGCTTCAGTCCTGACCAATGTCATGAGTATTCAGAATTCATGAGTCATGCACCATCAAAGCGTCATGTTCAAGTGTCAACACTTCATGTCCCTGCTTTGTGCATCGGTTCCCGTCAATATGCCTCTCCTGGATCGCCTAGCTCGATGGCGTTCAGAATCCGAAGATGACCTCAATCAAGTCTCGGTCCGGACGAGCAAAGGATTGGATTCACTTGGAAGGTTCGTGCATTGCTTGCATTTATTCTTGCAAAAGCAATATTGCACAAACCAAACCGAAACAAAAGCTGGGCAAAAATCGGAACAATGTGCAATGGTTCCAAATGTTCCCCGGCATTGCTGGCACTTTCCTGGGCCCATAATTGTTACTCATGTTCGAATGGCTGCTCCGTATGAACGGCCTCAGCTCTACGACAACCCTGCAGCGTTCTCAAAAAGTCCCTGTCGTCGCCAGGTGACGCTTCTCGCCGACGAGGTTTCTCACCTCGCTGTGACATGATTTAAGCAGCAAACGACGAGTCGCAGCAAACGGGTCAAATGTCAACGACTCAAAAAAAGCGTCCATAACGTGCGCATGAACACAGGGTAGAAAAGCCGATGTTGGTGTTGCTGCTCTATAATTGAATGGTTCCACTGTTTCTGGTGGGATTCTCCAAATACAAGAACCCCAAAAAAGCACCCAGGCCTTTCTCATCTGCACTTGACCTGCAAATTCGTGGCAAGGATCACCGATGAGCCCACGCCAAGATCTACAAACTACAAACAATCTCCTACCAACCTCTAAAAGTACAGTAACTAGAGGCTACTAGGTGGAGGCCATCGTTATTTGGTTGGAGGCCATCGCTACTAAAGCTTTCTAGAAACATATAATCAAAAATATACCGCGCCGTTCCGCATCACAGACTTCACGCCTTTTGGAAAGAATGCTCGCTCGTGGTTTCTCCTCCACATGCTTCAGTATTCATTGTGTCATTGCTGAGTGATCATCATATCATCACGTTTGGCCAATTCGTCTTCTCAGTCATCAAGCCACATCAAGGTATGCTGGAGCCAACTCAGCTCCCTCCTGCAAATCTTTGAGTTTCTGCTCTGGACGACGAAAGCAAACATAGACTCCACCAGCGGCCAATACAACCTGAGCTTCAAGCAAGTCCATTTCATGAAGACCATAACCCAAATGCCACACAACCATTTGCTAATGCCTACTGCACCTTGACATGCATGTGTGTGTGTGTTGCATCAACGAAAGTAGACAGTATCTACAGCGTAAGTCATACGTCAAAGAACCTGCTAGCATAACCTGAAAGGATATCGTGTAACTAAATTGCTTCGTTTACGATGCATTTGTGGGTTGGATGGTGTTACGCTACATTTACCATTAATACAAAGGTCCAAGTGGAGTTCAAAAGGAAAAAGCCGGTGAAAAGGATTTTCAAGCAGGCAACTGCTGCCAAAGCAAAGATCCAGTTTTGAGGTGGCGAAGCCTGGCAAATTGAAGCAGGAATCAAAGCCATGCACAGCCATGCAGCTTATCAGACCCACCACGCACACTGCCAATGCCAACCATCAAGAAATCCACGCCTGCTGGTCTTTGTTCTGGTCTTTGTTGTCTGCTTTCTTGGTACCCTCGTCCTCCTCATCGTCTTTCTCTTCCTTAGTCTTTTGACGTGCTTCCTTCACAGTTTTTGGGCCAGTCATTGCCACTGCTGTTGTTGCTGCTGATATGGCGGTGGTCGCTGGTGATGCTGTGGTGACCGCTGCTGTCGCAGTGACCGCCGCAGTAGTGGCACTGGGTCCAGCAGGGGCAATGGTGGCAGGAAGCACTGTTGTCGCACTGCCAGACGCACTCCCAGCAATGCCGGTGCCTTCTGTTGCCGTTGAGGGCACTTGCCACTCGCTTTCGCTTTGCTTACTTCGTTCACTTCCCACGGCCTCCCAGGCTCCCGAATTATCTTGGGGGCCACACGCGATCAAGTTCAAAGCTTGGAATTGAAAGCTGCCTGACCGTTACCAAGTGGTGAAATATAAACGGCTTTTAGGGTCTTGACTTCATCATTCTATTTTTGTTGCTTCATCGTGAGTCATTTACTTATATACTCAATTGTACCGTATTTAGTGGGTAAGGTAAGTGCTGTCTGCATCGCCTTTACATACTCTTGCAACAGGGCTTCACCTGTAGAGCAACAAGGACATGCTCTCATATTGGATCATCAAATACGCGGTTTTCCAAATCGACGAGGCTTCAATCAACATCTAGCACGGCAGGCTGCAAGATAACGAAGCACTGAAAAAGCTCGATCTGGGGCTGCCACGACGAACGATACTCGTGTCGACAGCCTCAGAATGTCCCCTTGAGGCCCTGGCCTCTACCAGTTTACAAGTCCGCACTTGATTAAAGCATCAACATAACCAAATAAACCACGTTGCACATCCATCTTTCACTTGAAAGGAAAAGTGGAAGCGTCGGAATCCAAGCACCCAGCACTCGCAAAGAAGCAGCAGAGGATGACCAGAATCCAGACTCTCATGATTTGCGAGACATAGCAAGAAGTGCATTAACCAGCCAACATCTGCAGTTTCTTGTAAAAAGTGTAAGGGTGTATATTACTGCCATCAAAGCTCCAAGCGTTACGTATGTAACAGCTTAATGTGTACGCAAAGAACCTGCACGCCCTCAGAGATTCTGAGACGTGAAGGGAAAGACCTGCTAAGAAGGACTGCAAATGTCCACGGGGCCAATGCAGGTCTTTGGAAAAAGCAAACAAGGTCTTTGGGTTGTTTTTTTCCAAGTAAAGGGGCCCAAACACATATTTTGTTATCTAAGCTTCTTGTCTTCCAACTTGATTCATCTGGGTTCATCTCCTTCTCCACAGTCGTTACAGAAAAGAAACAAATGGGTTGTAGTCGTAGATGGTTCTAACACATCAGTCTCAATTTCAGCGATTTCCTTTGGAATCGGCTTCACTTTGCACAAGCTCCACACTAAAAGAAAGGGACTGCCAGTATCCACCACGCCGCGGAACAGCTGTCCACCTCAGATCCACCGCATAACTCAGGCCTTCAAGACATTAGCAAAGTCGACAACACCTTGCCCCTCGTTTGCATCTCTTTTCTGAGCCGACGCAAGCAACAGCTCTACAATTTGCCAAAACTATCACCATCATCAACCTTAAAGATAGATTCCCAGCATGAGACATACAGCAACTTGAGGCGACAACATGCGCTGCCCCAAATGCTGGTCAACTCGTGCGGCTCCAGGTTCACCCAAACAACACACCCACTGCTTCCAGCCACTGCAAACCGAAGAAGTGTCTGGGAGCACATCAAACTATATAACTGCCTTGGGTGATCTCCTTTGGAGTGTCTTGCGGTTTAGAAAATGTGGAGGCTGCGATTAGACTCGACTGAATTATGAAAACTTGGAAGTCTTCCGCCTTTTTGAAAGTCTTCAGTCTTTGTCAGCCTGAAAGCTTGCAGGCAGAGTTTGAAAACCCCAAGGGCATCTGCATGGCTTGGCATACACGATATCCGGAAAATGTTTCTGCCGTGGCTTAGCAGGAATCTCATCTGAGACGCGGCAAACAAATACTGAAGCATGCATGCATATGTATACATTGGCATTGCTGCTTTCAAATGTAATGAGGATGCCATTCCCGCTGAAGGCGTAACAGTTGCTCATGATGCCCTTTCACCAACTTGTTGATATCACGCAAGGATACGCAAGGTGTCTTCGGTGTCTTCTTGCAAAGCGATCAAAAAGACCCTCGCTTACTGCACCACACATCGAAGAACCAAAACTCAGCCTGTATTGTAAACAATTGGAGCTCGAAGACACTTTATTGTCTGAAAAGGCTGCTTCCATTGGATTGCTGGGATGCAAGCTCAGCATGTTGAACAAATCAGCTTTCAGCATAGACTATCTAAAACTAGCACTGTTCAAGGCTGTGTGCAAAGCCGAGGATCGCTGTTAAGTTTCTGTCAGAAACAAGAAACAAACCGAGTAAGTCAAAAAGCCATAGACTTTCTACTAATGATGGCATGCATCAGTTTTCAAGCAACATCTCTCGAAGCAAGTCAGGTTGAGATCGCCAAAATCTCCGCATCTTCTGCTTGATCGCACAGCTCCTAAGGTGACAGGAAAATGGCTGTGGAGCTTCAAAGACAAATGCCAATTGGAATCAACATATATTAGAATTGCAAAGGACAAGAAAGTGGTAGCACGGTTGCGCAGTTGCAAAATAGCAAAAGTGCCGAACACACGCCAAAATATGAGCCAAGCATGCCACTTGGACAAGGGTCAATACAAGAATCAGCGCACAAACACCCACAAGGGACCAGAGCTGCAGATCCGGCGCTACCTGTTTCGGAAGAACCCACTTCAAGACTCAAGAATGCTGCGAGGAACGTATATCACGGAACCTAGAATCTAGAAAAGGAGTCCATCATCCATGTTGTCACATCCATATGAGCACTGAAGGTCCCAAAACGTGCAAAACCAGAATGCTGGCGGCTTGCAATCACACAACACTGACAAGGAACACTCCTGAAACTCAAGTTGGGTCTTGCTCTTTGAACTCTATCCATAGCTACGAGCAACAAGTGTATCGCTACTAGTAGCAAGGACGCTACTAGTAGCTAGGGCATTCCTAGTAGTAGCAAGAAGCTACTAGCAACAAGTGCATCGCTACTAGTAACAAGGGCATCGCTACTAGTAGCAAGGACGCTACTAGTAGCTAGGGCATTACTACTAGGAAAAAGTAGCTGCTAGGGGCTCCTGGCATCGCTACTAGGAGCAAGGACGCTACTAGAGCTAGGGCATTACTAGTAGTAGCAAGATTCTGACACTTGGCTTCGCGCCTTCCAAGGTGCCAACAATAACTTGCAGACCTTCCACTGCAAAACAGAATCCTCGAGCACACTGCAGTTTTCGTTTAAGCAATCGGATCTTGTGTAGATTATAGATGATTAAAAATGATTATAGTGGGTTACTCTATATTACAATTTGCATTTGGATTACAACTCAATGTCAATGTAGACAGTGACCGTGTTGATTGCTCAAAACGCTTAGATCTACCCAGTTTCCTTGCCTCGATCGAAAGTCACTGAGTTTGGTCAAGGGTCCATGATATGAAGCGCGTCCGGAGCGTAACCTGAAGTGGCTTCACACTATGCGAAAGTGCAGCCATTGTTTGACGCTCAAAGGAACTACTGTCTCAATTGCTGTTGAAGCACGGTAGCCAAGAACCAGAGATGCGGCCTGCAAGAGGCTCCTGATCCTCGGACAGCTTAAAGCTGCAATGACTAACGTCTTTAGCATAAGGTAGTCAACATGAGAAGTTTTTCTTGCTCCACTGGTGTACAAACAGTAAGGAACCAAGACACGCTTCAGCTTCAAGTATCTTCAAATTGTCAAAAGGCATCAGTGTCTTCGGTAAAAGTTATACTGTCAGAAAAGAGTTTTGTCCCGGACAAAGCCCCATAAATCAACAACATGCTACGAAATTAATGCTGCAGGAAACAACTTACAGCGATTGAATGACTTAAGAAGCTGTGCTGATTGTCCTGTCAAGTCGAGCATGCTTCCTGTCTACTCTACTCTGAAATGCATTTCAAAGTGGCAGCGCGAAGAATGCTGCTCGGAGTGGCCTTGGGGCTAAATTTCTAAGCTTCAATCTGCCTTCATGCACCCTGCCCCAGCTATCATCTCGTCACAATAACCACACAATGCAATCCAAATTTCGAACCTAATGTCACCAAATGCAAACTGACCAAAGTCCTCTACAGTCATCTTGAAGTCATCTTGTCATGTCCTGCTCTCCAAGCGGCATAAAGTGTGACGCATGGTCTTTTGACCTGAACACTCACCACTCGATGTTTCAGGCATGAATGTCTTGTGCTGTTTCACTCATCCTGTTGAATGTACGTATCTCGACAAACGGCAAACTTGTGCATCAAAAAAAATAAGAGAAAGTATGGCCGGAATCTAGAGGACCTAGCAAATCGTGTTTGATCGTTTTTGGCATGGGAACACCTTGATATGTCTCAATGTAATCTACATGTTGGTCCAATCTCATGCGCATCACCCGCCAATGTCACTGGTTCACAAAAATTCACAACATGGTCATCGATGTTCACAACAATCGAATGACTATGTGATCATATAAATTAATATATATATATATAAATATATTGGAGTGGGGGAATCCGGGTGTGGTGGGGTTGGGGTGTTTCTCTTTGCTGCTTCCAAAGACCCCTCAACACTTATACGACATCTCACCATCTACACGCCTTTGGCTCAAGGGCTAGAACGGAAAAGCACTTGCTGCTTGGTTTAGAATCCGTTCGCACTAACCTTTTGCATTCTCATCACACCTAGATCTCTTGTGAGTCCATGTACCCTCCTGTTGGGTCCTGCTGGGACCGACTATACTCCGGTCATGGGGTGGGTCATCATCTTCAACCTATCACAGCATCTTCTTCGTCATGATCGCATCATCCCCACTGGGCGTGAGAATCCGAGTTCCGTAGGATTTCAGCATCATGCAACGTGTTACAGTAAAAAAAATAGAAAGAAACGAACAACAGTCCACACAGCACAGCATTTCGATAAGAGATTGCCCGGGCCGCTAAGGGAACACCCTACATCGTTTTCCATTCACGACACAGTGTTTTGGAGGTTCTGTGAGAGGACGGACCAAAAGCACAGAACATGAATCGAAGCAAGACCAGCTAGCTCATGGCAAGGGAGGACAGCGGAGAAAGTTGACACCCTCTTTAGGGATTGATATTTCTTGGTGCTTGTCGACCGCAAAGGAATTTGACGGAATCTGCATGCGTGCTCCTTTGAAGCGTTAAAAATATAGCGTGTGAAGTACCGGCAATGGGTCAGGTGTAGTATAGACTAACGAGTGCAAATTGACAAATATATATGGACAGTTTAGTAGAGTAGAGTATTAAGCAGGAAGTATATACTGTAAAGCACAACGAAAGGTATGATGGATCGTAGAGAATGGCCCTTGGAGAAAAGATCTAGTGTCTGTGAGAGCCGTCTTTGGCAACGCTACGACCTAAAACAAGTATGGCCGGACTGCTCTGCCTCCGTCCACTCTTGCCATCTCGCCTAGTTCGCTGTACTCTGCCCTGTCAGAGGGAGAGGAGCGAAGAACAGATTTGAAAGAGGCAAGGCAAACCCGAGTGAATACAAGCCAGGACAGAAGAGTAGAGCGTGGAAGAACGATGGAATCGAATCTAGGCATGGAACTGGGCAAACCGAAGTCTACGAAAGTACGGGATCAGTCTGAGTGTAGAGGGCTCTTTGTATGATATGTACAGTATGGAGATAACACTGAGGATGATAAAGTAGCAGAAAAGACTGTATAGTATCGAGTCGTATCAAGTATAGACTTTGTAGAGAGGAGGCAATATAGAACGAAAGCGGAAAGGAAAAAGAGAGGCAAGGACCCGATTGAAGGGACCCAAACACCTTTCTCTTTTCTGTTCCGCGTCTGATTTTCCGTTCCGTCCGTTGACACTACAAGCGAAATCTTCAGAAATGTGAAGCAGCCCAGCCAGCGGTTTTTGTTTGTTGATGAACACATGTTGGAATGAAACATGTTGGGAACTGAAACCCGCTCTATCTACCCTTTGCTTTGAACTTGTTCCATTTTATGTCTAAAAAACTTTCGGATGTTGGTTGTTTCTGGCGGTTTGTACAGTGATGACAGTAATGTAAGTAAAACTCAAGCTGCCTCATCAGATTTCATAGGTGTTACACAGGTCCTTACTTGTTCTGTGACTTACCTGGCCTACCCAACCACATTGAACACCTAGGTCTCCTCGAGCGCCCTGTGTGTCACTGTTGCTGCGCTGCTCTTTGTGCGCATAGTTGCGCAAAATTACATCTTGGATGTCGGTGCCGCGGTTTTCAGATATTCCGGAGTGGAATGCATAAAGAAGCCGAAAGCGCCAGGGCGCCAGGGCCAACAGTCAAGAAACTATACACGAGATTCGGCAGCTTGGAATCTTTGGAACTG